CCTTTGTTGCTAACACCACCTAAACCGCTGTGCTACATCAGAAAGGGAGATATCTTTGCTAATTTATGAGTCATTTGGCTAAAACAAAATATTACAATTTTTAGTATTTTTGACTGCCTGATACAGTTTTCAATAGAATGATTTTCTTTATATTTCCTTTATGTTTATCCTCTTTTTAAAAGGATTGAGCGTTTTTTCTGTGTTGATATTTTTTCTTCGTCTTTAATAATATTTCCACTTTTATTAACAGAAAAAAAAGCAGAAAAGCACAACAGAGCTGCTTGTACATGTTATCTTTAAGGAGCATAACACGTAGATATTTCTCCAAGACTTCCTGTACAACAAGTTTCTCACCCTCATCCCGAAGCCTTTCTGCCAAAAGATAATACCCATCATTGGCAAGATCTTCATAAGATTTTCCCAAAGCTTTAAAACGATTTGCCCAACGGAATAAATCCCTTGGAGTTATATATCCATGTTTTCCAGCAAATATTTTGCTACTCTGGCGGTGCAACTGCAACTCTTTCATGACTTCAACCATTTTCAAAGCATAGCTCTTAGGGATTTGACACCTCTGCTCTAAAATTATGCTCAATTCATCTTCTGGAATTTCACCAACATGAATCTCTACAAAACGGTTGCGGAAAGCTCGAGAAAGCAGTTTACGGCCACCATAAAAAGTGGGTGGATTTTGAGTAGCAAAAAGCATAAAATTTGGATGTGCTCGCACGGTTTCTCGCAGTTCCGGCACAAAGAGCTCTCTGTTATCATCAAGCAACCTGTTCAATGCTTCCAATACATCAGAGGGGGCCAAATTAAGCTCATCTAAAACAATCCAATGACCGTTCCTGACAGCCTTCACCAGGACACCCTCGTGAAATACAAGCTTCCCAGAAGAATCAGTAATATAGGAGCCTAGATATTCCTGAATATCAGTATGCTCATGATTATTAATTCGTACAAACTCATGACCAGTTATTGCAGCAAGATATCGGACAAGGCTAGTCTTTCCACTAGATGTTGGCCCCTGTAAAAGAACTGGATATCTTTTAACAAAAATAGCTCGTGCCAAGTTCCTAAGATGCCCATTCACACTCTTGGTCAGTACATAGTTTTTCACAAAATCATCAGATCTAGCATTCTCTTTTTCTATTAAGTAGCTGCTGAAAGATGTAGGCTGAGGTGGAGGATCATCTTTCTCTAACAACAGTTTTACAATTAAATTGTTCATTATCTTAGCACTAGATCCATCCAACAAGGAAAGGAAAAACATGGAAAATCCGTCATAGATTGTTCTCTGAAATCCAAAAGTTCTTTCTGCTTTCCTCACATATTCCAGAGCACGATATAGGGACCTCAAGCTATATTGTGGCTTCTGATTAGCCCCATCCTGCAGCCTTTGTTCAGACTCCTTCTTTGCTTCTTTATAAAAAGAAACAATTCTCTCCACCAATTTATCAGATTGATGGCCACCTAAAAACTTCCTAACAAATAGATCCAAATCACTATCATCCAGCATGTCATCAACAAAGTACTCAGTAAATCTACTACGTAAAGAGTAGGGCAACTCCCGCTTTCCAGCATCAGTGGCAGGGTTCATACAAGCAAATATCCGAAAACTAGGATGTCTATTTATGCCTTCGACATCCCCTCTTTCAGCTAAACAAAGAGATTTATCCTTTCCTTCAAGAACACCAATAATTCTCCCCAATATCTCTGGAGGAGCCAAATTAACCTCATCAAGCAAAATCCATTCACCATTTCTGAGGGCAGTAACAAAAGCTCCTTCCACAAATGAAAAGAACATTCCAGTTGAGGCTATTTGTTGATAAGTGTTCTCAAGCCTCACAGAAAAGCTTTCCCAAGCTTTAAGTTTTTCTTCTACATCAAAATGTTTCCTTCGCTTTTTTAGGGATCCTGATCTTTCTTCCTCAGCTTTCCTTTTGTAAACTTCAATGTATTTCCCTAATCCTTTCAACAATGTCTTCCACCTCTTATCAACCAAAAGTTTCCGTAACCATGGTAAAGCTTTATTCCCATCCTGGATAACAGCGTTCAATAAGACAAATCAATATGCATACTAATTATAGTAAAACTTGCAAATTAAGCCTAAACAGGAAATACCTTCAAACTGAATGTCTTGATTGCCAAGTCTTCAAACTCATTATACAAGGAAACACACATACACCGAGCATCCATTGGCTTAAATCCTCCTAATAGATCAGCAACATCACTTTGCTGACTTAAGTTCTGCAATGAAATAAGCATTAAATGGCACATCCATATGAATCTAGAAACAGTAACCTATTCAAATACGAGATAGAGAGAGAGAGAGAGAGAGAATGAGCAAAAAGGACATTTCATCCTTCAATATACCAAAACAGTGAGTTTCTGACACAGCCATGTTGCTAAATTCTGAACAAGCGTGGTTTTTCCAATACCAGTTTCACCCACTAGGAGAACAGGCTCATTGTATTCAACAGAACGAGCTATTCTCTCAAGTACATACAAAGAGCTACGGATCTCAACAAACATTGACGGGTCATATGACTGCAAAATTCACATTAAGTGTGAGGAGAGATTATTATAATGAAGCAACTCATATACAGATCATTTGAAATGCTCTAACTAACCGCTGTTTTAGCACGATGAAGTGTGACTCTACCAATTTTTAGTCCTTCTGAAAAGTCCTGTTATCCAGTTTAAATATGAGAAACAAACTATACTGT